AAATCCCAGACAGGGGAGCTTCTGAGCTTCTCTGCAGGTCCTGGCTTCTGGCCAGCTGCTCTGTGATGAGAATGTCCCCTGGGAGCTAGGGGTCTGGGTTTGGTGCTGGTCACCCTCTCATCACCTCTCGCTCCCTTGCATGTGCCCGCGGGTCTACGGGGAGGAACGAAAAAGAGACGTGGATCGGCAACCGTCGCATTTTAGATTTTAGCCCTATCCCCCAGTGCAGAAAGCGAATTTTGAAGTAGTAGTCCTGGCACCGCAGCACACTTGGTACAGCAAGCCACATGAAGTAGGAGTATTCGAGCCCCGAAGCCCCGGAGGAATAACGGCTGGCCAGGCTCCCACTTTGCCCGCCAGCCGTGCCAAGTGCAGAGCCCGCCAAAGCACAGGGCCCGCGGTGTCCTGCAGCAGACTGGTGGTCTTGTGGAGACTTTCGGGAAATCGGCAACAGGGCTTGCAAGGTCAAGAGTTCAATACAAAAGGAAGGCTTTCGCCCTGCCTTGCTTCAGGATGAAATCGTTGAATGGTGACGAACACTCAAGTCTCGTGTCTGAAAGGAACGGTGGAAAAACAAGACACACGCAGAACGCCAGGCACGGAGACTAAGGAGTGGCAATCCGACGGCATATTGGCGTCTTGTTTGGTGCCCGTGGCCTGTGAAGCACAGACCATTGTGAGCACGAAGCAGTTTTGTTCGAACACTGTGGCAATCGCGAGATGCAGTCATTTGGGTGATGCTTGCCTGGCTACCCTCACGCCCAAGTCGTTGTACCAGGCCCCCCTTCGAATATATATATATATATATACACATACCTTTACATACATATAAATAAATAAATCTGTATATATATATATATATATTTGTTTAAACACGGCCCGGGGAATGTATAGAATGAGAGGTTTTTTTTGGGGGGGGAGCTCGATCTGGGCTCTTCACAGCATGGACTCAACATGGACTGCTCAAAAATCTGCTCAAACCCAGAACACCCCCTGACCCAGAAACCCCTAAACCCAGAAACCCTACACCCCCAGAACCCTCACCCAAAACACCTGGGTCCATTAACCCAAAAACCTAAACCCAGACCCCCTAAATCATCCTGAACCCAAAACCCCCAAAACGCAGGAACCCAGAATCCCTGAACCAAGAAAACCAACACCGTAAACCCTTAAACCCAGGAAGATCCAGAAACCCCAAACCAGAAAAACTCTGAACCCAGAAACCATTTTTTGCATCCAGACTCCACGAAACCTTGAACCCATAAACCCTAAACCCCTCAAGCCCTGCTCTTCAGTACAAGGTTCCTGAGTGACCCCTATATCCCAAAATAAAAAGGGCAAAAGGGTACTACTCAGGAACCTAGAGGAGATAGAAGCTTGGAAACGGATACAACGGGGAACCCAGCTCTCGGGGGCCTAGCTCCGCGGTTCACTCTGCGATGCCTGCGTGGTCCCCGTCGTTTTTGGGAGCAGGGCTCCGCAAATGCTGCCGCGAGCCTCTAAAGGCCTAACCCAGAAACCCGTTATTGCCGAAACGAAAATGCCGAAACGGATCTACCCCCCCTCTGTTCGGCAACCCAGGGGGATCCAAGACAGCCGGCAGAAATGTATGTTCGACCCCCTTTTGCAAAACCAGTTTCCCAGCCCAAACCTTGGAATGTGCATTTGGAATTGCCGAACGGGCTTCCGGAATAAAAATTCTTGGGCGTGGCCCTAATGACACCATCATCACCCCTGCCTCCGGTATAATGTATAATACAGGGTTGTGGCATCAAATAGACACACAAAAGGCTAATCTGGGACATTCTGGGACTGCAGCAGACATCTCGCAGAGAAACCCCACCAGCATGCTCCGGTTTTGACCAGGGTTCATTCTTCAGGGGCCAACTTCCTGCTTCGGAGAAAGTCTAGACTTCTAGCACGCTCACAACCACCTGAAACACCGGGATGTCAATTCCAAGTTGTGCAAGCTTTGAGTCCTGGGAAGTCATCCAAACCTGGCCGAAGTCGATGGCACAAACCTGTGGCGCTACAGAACATGCTGCGACAAAGTCTAAGCAGGCGACAGCTGTGAACAGTTGGATGTGCTTGCCTGTGATTTTCATCTTTGAGTCAGGAATGAGACTTGTCCCGGTGGCGCAGGCATCTGATCACTAGCACATACTTATGCACTCCCACACACTCTCTCTCACACACCACGTTCCTCTTCAATCGTCTTGCTTCCACACTTGCCCGGCGAGCAACAATGCCAAGCTGGAAGTCGCCCTTCCGAGTCGCCTTGGGGTCTGCGAAGTTCTCTTCAAGTCTTCTCGTCCCTTTCTACTTATTTTTCTTTCCTCGAGCCGCGTCTCTCCTGCCCTCCCCAAGCATGCATACGCCTCACGACGAATTCAATCCAGAGTCGAGCTGAATGAAAACGAGGCTAGCAGGCAACATCACCAGCAGAGTATGTGTTTGCAGCCAGCTCGCATTATGCAGTGCCATCTCCTGCCATGACGAGAGCAAGAAGTTCCCTGTCGGATTTCGCTTCTAGCCGCAATGCTGAAGTGAAGCACTCACCTAAGACTCACCTACTCAATCTTCTCTCGCTCGGCCGAGGCCCTGCTTTTCAAACAACTCGGTTCTTACCAGGACCTAGCACCGCTTCTGCTAACACTTCGATACCGGCACCTTGCGAAACAAAAATGGGAAGGAGAAGTCGCAACAGTCACAGCATCAACTTTGCGAGAGCTCCTTCTGTGCTTCCTCTGCGCAGGCTGTGGCCACCTGCTCAGGACCATGGCTCAGTTGGCAGGACTGCGATCTTTATTACTTCATGTGGCAAAGAAGTGAGAAGTGGCAGGCTAAGTAAAACTGGCACTGGGATATTGTAGGCCCTGCAAAACAGCAGCTCCCCGACCTCGTAGGAATCAAAAACGGCAGCAACCCGATGGCCCTGGTACCAGCAGAGCTTGCCTGCTCAGTCAGAAATGGCTCTTCCAGGCTGGAGATGAAGCTTCGCACAGGCAAACAGGAAACCCCATTGAGACAAATACCGTTACACTCTCACAGCTCGGACAAATACCGTTGAGGTTCTGCACGACTGACCCACGCCATGATGCAAACTGCGTAGCTGTAGCTGAACCAGTCTATTTGCCATCAACTTGTCTGTGCCTCAGGAACATGTCTCAAGGTGTTGCGAGCCTCCTGTTCGGGTGACTGTGGTCGCAACAGTCTCCCGAAACTTGAGCAGGAGTCCTGGCTTCAACCAGGAAACTCTTTTTGCCTACTGTCGGAGGCATGGTGCTGACAGAAGATTGGGTCCAACAATCTCCTAAAGCATACCCTGCGTGGAGCACACACTGCAAGATGAAACCTCTGAGGCCCTGATCTGCCGGACGACCCTTCCGGGTCACCAGCCGTTTGTCACAAGGAAGCCAGCACGACTCCCTGGGCCCTGCGTTTTATACTTCCATGTACACCGACGGGCGCTAGTCCACGTGCAGCCAACCCTGTGCTTCCTTTTCGGGAACTTCACACTGCGAGCACGGCCGAAATTCTTGGTTGCCATTTCCAAGCACGAAAGGACGATCTGCCGAATGAGCCTTCTCCGGCTGACTTGACTCACTCCGTCTGGTTCATCGCACAAGGGTGAGGCAGTCCAACATGCGAATCACTCAGCGTACCACTCTGACCCCTGCGACACTCTTTGCAGCTGTGCGACCCTAAAGCCGAGATCCCTGAGCCCCAAAACCACCACCTCCAAATCGTAAACCAGCCTAGCCAAGCATGAGAGCCGAATCACTGAACCCACCAGCCCTCCCAAACACATTTCCCGGCCAAACCCAAACCCTAAGCAACCCTCACCAGAAATGTCAACAACCCTAAAGCTAACTTTCTAAGTCGAAGGGAACCCGAAGAGCCAAGAGTCGGAGGGTCTCCATTGGCCGTCGCTGGGCTCGTGACTCGAGTCCGATGCTTCGAGCATGGGCAGCCAGCACCACGGTGCCTTAAAGCACGAAAGGTGAATCATCATGGGATGCATGTTATCCATATGTAGGGTTTATGTACCTGATTACATCACCACTTGTTTCCGGCATTGCTGAAGGCAAAAGACTGCTGACTTATTCGGTTGCTTGCTGATACATATATAAATATATATATATATATCTACATACATACATACATACATACATATGAGATGTACATCAGCAAATTAGTAATCACCATAATGCCATAATCAATACATCCCTCCCTCCCTCCCTCCCTTCCTCCCTCCCTCCCTCCCTCCCTCCCTCCCTCCCTCCCTCCATGCATATATATATATATGTACATACACGCATATACAGGTACAAACGTAAATACGTACATACGCACATACATGCATACACACATGCATACATACATGCATACACACATTTTCAGCACTCGGTACACTTCTCGATTTGTGTGTGTCATCCTTGCGCAGGGGCCATGACATACATACATACATACATATGTACATGCACGCATATAAACGCACATACGCAAATACGTACATACGCACATACATGCATACATACATACAGACATACATACATGCATACATACATATGTACATTTTTCTCGAGTGCACACATACATATGTACATACACGCGGGTAAAAGTACATACGTAAATATGTACATACGCACATACATACTTACATACATCTTTTACAGTTTTTAGTACATACAAACAAACAAACAAACATACATACATACATACATACATACATATAGTCTTATGATGTCCAAGAAGTGCCAGTGCCCACAAAATTCTACCTCGTGGTTGAATCCAAGCCCTGGTGCTCTTGGACTGCAGGCCCTCCGGCGGCCCGATGGCGTCCACTGCTGCTTCGATCCCTGGTGGGTTGGCCCGGGCCATAGGTATTGCCAGCCTGAGCTCAGCATGAGCGGCTTGCGAATAGGAGCAAATTGCTGGGAGAGCCCTGAACTCCATTGCGCTTGGGGACTTCTGGCTTTCTGGCACGACGGCGCAAAGGCAGCTCAAGGTGTGGCCAGAGGGAAGCAGCGCAGAGCGCTGAGAGAGCTCCAAGCCTGGACTTTTCAGGCCCCCGAGGAATGTTCGGGCCGAAGATAGTGTACTTGACGAATCTTCGCTGAACAAGCAGACATGGGCAAGTTAGTGCAGTCTTTCTTGTCAGCATGCCACAACGATCAAGCTCGTTTCGACCCGAGAAGCTCCTAGACTACTTGTGTATGTCGACATGTATGTATATATATATATATGCACATGCACGCACATTCGTGTATGTCTGCCAGTCCACAATGCCAATACATGCATGTACTTAGGTATGTGAAGACATCCGCATACGCAGATATACCTCATGCGCAGGCTCAACCAGTCAAAAGCCCACCGAGACACGCCCGCTCATGGACGCACAAATATACATTGATCTATCTACCCAAGTTGTACACATACATATACATATCATCCCTATACATATAGATAGATATATGTATGTATATATATATATATCTTTCTTTCGCCATCTCGTTGCATATGCAAATTTCTGCGTGTGAGTGGTGTGTGTGTGATTCATCTCATGACATCGGAACAGTAGGTCAAAGACCCAGCAACAGCCAGAGTCCCGCAGAAGACGCAGCTCTTGGTCCTCACGAGGGGTTTTGAGAAGCACTCCTTTCAATTTGAGTTCTGGGCCCCGAGTGACGAAAATAACCCACCACATCATTTACGAGACACCGACGATCACAACAAAGACCAAAGTTGCAGAAACACCTCCTGCAGCCTGAAAGACGACAAAAGCCTAGTTACTAGTTGTCTACACCAAGAGCTGCTTCATGTTGATACGCAAACATCGCAATCGATGCAACCGGATATGCTGGCACTCGATTGAACAAGGTCGATACAAGGTTTTGCGCTTCATGATCGCCAGAATTGTCCTTTGCTGCGTGGTTTTCGGCTCAGCAACACGAGTCTGTAATCGCCTGAAGCGGTGAGCTGGCCTTTCGGAGCTTTGGCGGCACTCTCCTCCAATATCCTATTTAGCTCGTCCATGGATGCACCATCTCCCTCCGAAAGAAAGCCTAGAAAGGAGAACTGACATTATTTGTTCAACTTGCACTGAAGCGACGGGAGTTCATAAATTGTTGTGTTTTTGCACAGAGCAAACAGAGGCTACACAGACATCGAGCCCTGACAAGTCCGAGACAACGGAATCCATTTCCTGACCCTTCACGTCGCACTCCTCCAAAAACAAATCATTTTCATGAGATCTGAAGCCCCAGAATCGTCCTCAAGTCCGGACGCGCAGGCTGCGCTGCTGACCAACAGCTCGCCAGGAGAGGCCAGCTCCTCCATCCTTGTGAACTTGAGAAGTTCGGGGTGCAGATTTGCAGAGAGGTGTTCGAGGGGCGCATGTGGCATACATCACATGGATTATGAGCGGACATATGTTGGATTAGTCTTCTTTGGCATTCGCATCCTTTCTTGGAGGGGTGGTTGTTTGTCGGCCAGCTCATGACAATACCGAGCGAAATCATTCGAAATCATTCTGCTTCGTTCCAACTCAATCGTTTTCATTCCGTTCACTGCCGTTGTTTGACGCGAATGGCGTTCCCGAGCACTAGGCCTCCGAGCAGACAATCCAGCAACACGCTTCGAGGTGTTCCTTGAAGTCTGACTGACTCCCACCAAACCAGCATGATATGTTTTCACTTCATAAACTTCTGACGAACCATCAACTCGAGATGCTTAAGACACTGGTTCGCTTCAACTTCTCGAAAGGTGCTGCAGTGTGCTCTCCGGGCAGCGTTTCATTTCCCGCAGAGAAACACCATTCTGGAAGGATTTGGTGGAATGGCCTTGTTTTCGATAAGCAGTCGGAAAATGTTGCCTTTTCAATTTCATCGACGTGGCTTCAATTTGTGGTTGATCCTTGCGGGCTGTAGCTTTGTGTTGACTACCTGCGCGTTGTGGACTTTTGCTGATCTTGTGTCTTTGAAATAGTTTTTGGGTTTCCTTGAGTTTCTTTCCAAGTTGCTTACAGCTTGTCGTCGTTTCACGAATTTTCGTATTTCCATATTTTCGACTTCTTGGAATGTGAATGGTGTTGGAGGGTATTCCTGGTGAGCTTTATGTAGTTCAGATGCTGTATGTGTCTCTGTGTGTGTGTGTGTCCGTGTGGGTGTGTGTGTTATCAGTTGTGCCTTGTTTTGCCTTTCTGCAACTTTTGCACAATTCTTCTCTTTTGAAATTGCGTTGATGTTCTTAAGGCGACTTGAATGGAGGACCTCTGAACAAACCCCAACCACCCCAAAACCTTAACCCGACACCGCGGACCTTTGGTTTTCCGAATGGGATGGCCCAAAGTCAAAACTTCGCAGAACGACGCAACATAGATTCGGAGTCTTCAGCGAAGCTTTTCGCATGTTTTCGTTCCTTCGAAGACTACTCCTCCCTACACGAAGACCCCCCGTGAGAAAAGCCCATCAGCGTCCGGCGCCAGTTCAAGCTATGGCCCTGGACTTGAATTCAACTTGAAGTTAGTGCCTCCAGATGAAAGTTTTCGACATGCTCCTAAAAAGCAAAGCATCTGGATGGCAGCGTCCACGGCCTCTCCAAAGAAGTCCCCACGCAAGGGGAGGAGGCTACCCAGCTCCATTCCAACAGAGACCGCGCAAAGGGTGCTGCAGCCCTGGCAGTCTTTCTTGTACCCATCCTCTGCCCACTCTGGAAACTCGAAGACCAGCCTCTGCATGCGAAGAGCGATGCGCAGGCCGAGCACGGCCGTGTCACAGTACAAATATATGCAACTCCCATGGCTGTTTACCCAGTGGATTCCATCTTCCCACGCTGCAACAACGTAGTAAGCCCGCAGGTAGCAGAGTAGAAGCAGATTCTCCTTGCGTTCCTCCTTGGGCAAGTGTATCCGTATGACCACAGCGCACGCTCGAATCATGAGCCGCTTTTCCAGACGCTGCTCACCCTGCAGGTTTCCCTCCACAGCCCCCAGAAGACTGTTGAGTCTCGTTTCGGTCAGGGCTTCATCCTTTTGTGCGAGAGCTGCGGGATGCTCTGTGGACACCACGACTCTGGCACCTCGCGCGGGCGACATCGGAGACATCGGGGCTTTTTCTGCTTGTGGCGAGCTGGGTGCAGATGCAACGGCTCCATACTGCGGCAGAAGGCCCAAGTTTCGGAAGGCGAATGTCCACTTTGCAAAAGATGCCTTGTCGGGACACTTTAGGGCGGGGGCGCTGACAGCTTCTTGGTATGCGGCACCACCACCTGAGATGCCACAGGTCACCAGGGAAAGTGCATTCTCATCCAACGTGACTGGAGGCTTCTTGCCAACTCCCATGGGCGAGAGCTCCACTGCTGCAAGTTCCCAGTGCGAGTCAGGTTCCTCAAAAATCTCCAAGATGGCACTTCCACCCGGGCGTGGACTCAGAACGACGAACCGCGGCAATGGCTGGGCCTCATCGATGCAGACGCCCACCACACCAGCGGTTAAAGCCTGCGTCACCCTGCCAATGCAGCGTGCGAAGCTGTCTTCCAAGCTGTGCAACCTGGATACGAGCTGCTTCTGGTCCGACTCTGTCTGCTTGAACCTTAGCCGCATCTTGCATTCACCCAAGCATTTACGCGAGGGACAAAAGCCCGGGAGACAGCTCAATCCCGCACAGCTTTCCGGCGAACCTGAAAATAGAGCTCTTGTCGACAATTACGCAGGCCTTCAGTTCCAGCTGATGGAACCGGGATGCATTACACGCAGTCTCGCGGTAGTGACTGCCTTGTCAGTAGTCAACACTGGGAACGGCATGCTACGTCCACCTGTGCGAGAATTGAGGGATATTGAGGGCCCTATCAAGATAAAGGCTGGTGCGCCTCAAGATTGCGAGTGTTCTCAGAATGAGTCGTAGAGCCTCCGCTGTTTACATGCTAGTTTCTACTTCTTGTTGCGGCAGGCGGCTTGCTGCGTGAAATGCTGGCATCCGTGAGCAGCCGCTCACGCTGACCTTATCAACTACAGACGAGGCAGCACCCCAGAGCTTACAAGAGGTTGATGGAAAGCGGGATACAGTGGAGCAGGAAATCTCATCTGAAGTAAGGGCAGCCATGTCATGCTTGCAGCAAGTTTCAGTCCAGCTTCCCATCCAGGGCACTGGTCAGGGATTTCAGGGGTCAGGAGGCTTAAATGCGTCCGGTGGCTGTCTCGGATGCGCGCCTCCTCTTCCAGCTTCCGGACATACTGACTAAGAAGCTTGATCTCTTTCCTTGCAGAATGCACCAAAGTCAAGGCTTCGCACGTACGCGCTTTGACCTATAGATAGTGCAACTGTCGCATGTGTTTTTGTGGGAAACCAAGGCGCTTGAGAAGCATATCATAGTATCTAACTTCCTGTCCAAGACTCTCCTTGGTGTCTAACTTTAGGCCCAGCTCCTTGACCTCCCGCCCGCGAGTCTCGTTTTGCTTCTGTGCCTCAGAGCACAGACTCTGCTCCGCCGTCAACTGCATCTCTCAGCACTCGCAAGTCAGGGGCCTCGTGGTACCGGTCCTTCCACAAGCCACCCTCTTGTGGCGAAAGCAGCGCCTGGCCAAAGAAGGGCGGCACTGGTGCAGCATCGTGTTTGATGGGTTCCCTCTTGCTGTTGTGCAAGCAAAACCTAGCAACGCAAACCACGATGGGGCGTGCACATATCCCAGTGAGCCTTTTGCAGCGTGTCTTGCGTCTCACGCAGAGTTCTTTGCAAATTATCGATGGCCGCATCTCGCTGGAGCAGCTCGCTATCCAGGTCTGCAACCTTCGAGCGCAAGCCATCAGCCCTGCATGCTCAAGCGTAACCATGCAGCACGTGTCTGCGTGGCAAGCTAGTGCATCGAAGAGAGACGCGCCCTTACAATCTCTGACGAACACATGAACGCAGGTAGACATTTGAGCATACATGCAAGTAGGCATGCATACACACATGCATATGCAAAACATACATGCTAATATGGTTGTATATGCGTAAACGTGTACATACAGCCTTGCCTTACCTGTGTGAAGGCGTGCAAAATGCGAGCGTGCCTGCTTACCTACCGATTTTCTGAAATACTTTATTCAAAAATACCTCTTTACTTACGTTTTCTTTTCATTTCAGTCACGTGGAGTCTCTGTGTGTGTGTGTGTGCCGTTGGTATGCCCCCAAAGCATATGTGTTGTGCGGTGAAGGCTGGATCGTTCGACATTCAATCTCGTTAAACATGGCATATGAGGTAATGTGCACATCTCTTACCTACCTACCTACCTACCTACCTACCTACCTACCTACCGACCTACCGACCGACCGACGGACGGACCGAGTGACCGACCGACCTACATACCGACCTTGCTACCCACCTACCGATTTACCGACGACCTGCCGAACGACCTACCCACCTAATCCCACCTACCCACCTGTCCGGCGAGCTACCTACCATGTCCATCGGTGCTGGACCCATCTACCCCACCTTTCAGTAGCAGTTGGTACCTGGATCTGTTTGTTTCAACGAAACCAACAAACCAGAAATGCAAACATAGCTGTCCAAACATCTAACCTTACTATGACACACAAGGCCAAGAAGTCAGAACAGCAACAAGAAGGGATTTTGTCCATGCATCCATGTACGGCCCTCACGATCGCTGACCAGGAGCATGGGCTCTTAAGGCAGAAAGTTCCTCGTCGACCCCAGGAAAACCTGCGGCTTCCGAGAGGGGAGCTTTCGGCCCGGGTCCGGGATGTCAGATGTTCTTGGAAACTCGAGGGGCTCGGAAAGTCCAAACGTCTGTGCTGACAGCGCGCCAATCATATCACGCCTTGATGCTTCACCACTGGCAGCGAACCCTGGAGTCTTCCGTGCTGGGAGCTCGAGGCGCAACCCTTTGGAAATTGCACTGAAAGCCGTGAGTTGGCCCCGGAGCCTCTGCTCGGCGCAGCGGCCCGTGGGCTTGCCCAAGCCGAGGGAGAGCTCAGAGGGCTGGAGCCTCCAAAGCGGCACAGGGTTCGTTTAGCCTGACTGGATTTTTGGGTCAGAGTGGAGCCCTTCGTGCACCGCGCTGAGGCCATGGCCAGCAGGGCGCGATTCCGCAAAGCTGGCGGCAAGGTCAGCAGCGTGGCTGGGAGAGGTATTACCGCCTCTTGGGCCTCAAGTTGGGGCTCGAGCATGGGCTGCCCAATGCAAACTTGCCCTAGACTTTCAGGCTTTAAGCCATCTTTAAAGCTTAAAGACAGACTTATGCGCAGCCGGCGGATGCAGCACATCACTCCTGCTGTCTTTTGCAACCTGTGGGCCTGCAAGTTTGTCAACGGTAGTTGAGCGGGCGAAAGCATTGCTAGCGGCCTACTTCATACTCCGAAGGCTGAAGACTCCAATGGCATCAAAGATGGGCAATGTGCCCCTGTAATCTCTGCATCCTTCTCCGTCCAAGCGTCTAGGCGCGGCCTCCGGCACCTGTGAACAGCAACAGGCAAAGCGTTGTGCAAGTTCGGATTTGCAATCTGCTTTTTGCGAGGTATTAAGCATTTCGAAGCCAGGAGAATCCGACAAGTTGAGCACTCACTCGTGGGAGCCTGCCAAGGAACCAAAGGCTCCGGGACAGCGGGTCGTCGACAGTTCCCTCTGATGCCCTGCGCCTCTCCACGCAGCGCCTTCAATTGCGCGGAGATCAGCGACTGCTCAGCCCGTGCCTCTGCAGCTCAAAGAAATCCATTTCAACAAATCTCCGAAAAGGTCTAGACACTGGAAAAGCCGACATCATTTTCCCCTGAAAGCCTCTGCCATCAATGCCGCCATGGACTCTGCGGAGGTAGCCATGGCTGCTACTGCTACAAAGCAGAGGGTTTGTCTTCAGGCGGTGGTGCCTTCCTCTGGTTGCAACACGCAGATCGGCCAGCGTAAGGTGTGCTGTGCTTTCTTTTGTCACAACCGGCATGGTCTAACTCCGGATTTCGGTAAAAGATCGGCGCTGTAACATTCTAGGCTTCCCGGGTTCTGGATCCGTTTCGAGAGTTCTGTTGGGACGTCACCTTGCGACATTTTTTTGTTTCACTACCATCGCTTTTCTGCAGTCGGGTGGAGCTGCACAAGCTGCAGAATCGGTGCGATGCCGCTCAAAAAATGTGAGGAGACAACCAAACAAAGAGACACCCACAGCGGGGCCTGCAAGCAAGCTTGTTTTTGTTCTTCGTAGTCCTTTGCACTTCGGATGCCGGGAGCCTGCATATCTTCTTGTCTTGTGCTCCAAGCTCGTGAAGCATGAGAGGCCGTGAGGCCATGAGGCTCGATCGCGCTGGTCTTGTGGCAGAAGAGATGCGATGGCGTTGTCGGGACTTGCTGCGAATGCGCCCCATATCAGAAACGGCCGATAGCGGCAACCTGATGGCCCAGGAGCTGTTCGGTCCGCGCTCTTGCCGAAGGTGTGGAGGCGTAGACATCGCGAGGACGCACCGCACGGTCCGGGGGCTTCGTTTAGCAGGTGGCCTGCAAAAGCTGCCAGCAGGCGGCACTGTGCGAGTACTCAGCGGGATCAACATAAGTCCTACTCCTAGCACGTCGAACAGAAGCACCTGAATCTGACTAATCTCATGCGGTGCTGGCAAGCAACTGCTGAAATAGTCCACGCATAGACGGAAAAGGGTTCCAAAGGTATTCGAAGCTCCTCGTTGGATGAAACCTGGCTGACAAGATACCACTGAGCATGCAAGGCCTTCACCGGCTGGTGACATGACAGGTAGGGCCCGTGCTGCCTCCACCTGAGTCTGTGCTGAGCCCGGACAGCTTGTCCTGAAAATGGCTCTCGGGTTCTGACACTTAAGGGCTGCATGGTTCGTGGCTTTTGGCTTCGGCCATGCGGGCCCCCCAAATGGACATGAAAGCCTGGGGCTGATGGCTCGTATGCCAATGCTCGTTGCAGTGCAGCATTCGCACTGATGTAAGCGAGTCGTACGAAAGCGCTGACACAAACTGCAATTCTTGAGTCCGCCGTTGCCATTTGCTAGAATGCTTGAAGTAGTACCATCTTTTATCACATCCTGCTGCAGCGATGTAGACGTAACTGCAACCCGTCTTGGTGGTGTAATGTCTGAGCTCGTGACGAGAGCTGGAGTGGTTTGATGCTCCAACAGAAGGATGAGGAAAGCAAGCCTCAACATGCTATCGAAACTTGAACAGCTCAAAAGCAAATCATCAGAAGACACTGAGCAAAATGTGGCTTTTGGCCATGTAATATCCATACAGCCCAGTGGCCCTGTGGTTTATGCAGTGCAAAAAAGCCAGGGCTGATGCGAACTCTCATCTTTCTGGACAGATAACGATGTTCTTAACGTCACTTACTGCATTGTCACTCTTGCAATGCCACATTCCACAAGGCCCTGCAAGGCCCCGTTGACTCTTTGTGGTTTCTTTGGCAGCACAGGAACGCGAAGGAAGCTCAAGGAGTTCTCCCACGCAGAAAACGGCCTGGGAGGGTAAACAGGACCAGCCGATGCTATGCAAGTGCAGAAATGACAACCTGCGCACGGACTCCTTTTGACACTCAGAACAGGTCCTTCTGAAGCTTCTGTGGATACGACTGCGACAATCAAGGGCATCACGTGGCCGACGACAAATCTGGTTTTGAATCGAAGCTAACAGTGATCAACACAAAAATATTCAAGCCCAGGCTCGGATTGAGCATTGTCTGTGGGGTTGCCTCATGCGAAGTGGTGAATCACAAGCTAGAGCTGTGTTTTGGACAACTGCGGGGCGTTCAGGGTCATGGTCAACAACTCTGGGAACTCACGACTCCAAAACTATTCGGCCGATGGGTCTTGGCATCCCGTCATCCTGATCTGACAACGACCTCGAAACCAAAATCCTGCTGCGATCCACCGGACAAACCCCATGGCCCTCGAGACTGAAAGAAGGTTTGAAGGGCCTCTGGAGCACAACTGCGATCTGCCTGCCGCGAACAAAGATCTTGACCTTTCACCTAGTTATCTGTGTATTCGTTTGCCTGTGTGTGTGTGTGTGCGTATGAATGTATGTCTCCCTCCCTCCCTCGCTCACTCCCTCCCGCAAACCAATTCCATGATCCATCATAGTATGGCGACTCCTTTGCTGAGATGCGCCACCAAAAGACTCCTCGGAGGTTTGACTCCTTGGTGGCCGGAAGGTGTGGGACAGGGCCTACACGAATGCCATGATTTCCTCATCCATGTGTTGCGGATCTGGGCAGCGGTGAGTATACACGATACTAGCCAACGGATCAAGCAGCTGAACGCTGAAGGTTTGGGTCCATGGAAGTCTGAACTCCCATCATTTCCCATCTCTGGCAACGGCAGCTGGGAGCAAAAGCAGCTTCCCAAACCAACCATCAAGTCTGGTCCTATGGGCACACCGAATAGTCTTCCAAGCATCGTCGAAAGCTGCTGCACCGTAGACTCTCTGCACATCCCCGCCGATGGCATGCGCGTCGCGCAGGAGCTTTTGCTCCTCGCAGCTTGATGTTCATCGCAAGGCAGTCGGCGCTCTTTGATCTGGGCCATTTTGGCAAAGCAGGCATCCACGTCATCTCGGACTAATCGTCTAAACTCTGTACATCTTCCCAGGATCCGGAAATCAACCAGTTCGACCAGCATCGAAATGAACATGCGAAGTACTTCACAAGCCTACAGACCTACAGCTGTCTAGAGCATTCGTTTGGATCAACGCCATGGCCTAGAAAGCCTGCATCCGAAGGAGAAGGCACCCTACAAGTATGAAGGGCTGTCAAAAAATGGTCGAACTGGAAAGTATATACTCCTGTCAAAGGAGGCATGTCGCAAGTTTTGAAGTCCCAGCGATGACCCCAGCAAGCCTTTCGTGCAAAGCTTGATGCGACCGCCAAAGCTTTCCAGTAGTCTGTCGTCATCAGCTCTGACTGAATGTACAGCTCCTGCCGCTGAGTTCGTGAAATCTCTGCCTCTTCTAGACCTACCTTCTGTTTGACAGTCGCTCGCTGCATGGCTGTCCTGAAGGCCCGTGCCGGCCAGGAAGAATGACAGAACCTCCTTGCAGAAATCTGCCTGAGAAGCGAACACTGGCAGCAACCCAAAATCCTTAGGTTGAACTCTGATTGGCGTCGGACCTGGGAACCCCCAGTATGGGAAAGTTGTGCCGGGCATATTGCGAACCTGCACATTGTTTTGGAAACTGCCACTAATGGCGAGTTTTTCCGGCTGCAACATTTGTGGAAGCAAGGGTCCTGAAAGAAAGTAACCCTCTACAATTCCTATGAATAATGCATCTATGCATGCTGCGACTATTAAATGACTATTACTAGTGCGGGAATTAAACTACTCTTAATGCTGTTATGCTGCTCTCACTATCGATATGACGAATACTTTCTTTCACTCGTCTTTCTTTTTCTATTGCGTACAACCTGGTACGTTGGAAGCCGAAAAAAAAGGTTTTAGGGTTTTAATTCTAGGTGTACTTTCATTTGTTTGGGTGGAGGTCTACACACTCATAAGCGTTTAAATTACTTCGATCCCATCTGCCAGAAGCGTCGTTTTTGTCGGGGGCCACATGTCGGCGGTCTCCTGGGCTGAGCGAGGTGCTGGCATGTGTTACTTGCTTTCCCAGACATCGCCGCTACCTAGCCGAATTGGTGGTTTGTGGCCTTAGCGGCAAGCCAAGTATCCGTTCACTGTAGCGGAAGCACGTGTCAGGGCGAATGCGGGGCAGGAGCCGTTGTTCAAGCCGACTGGCAGTGTCCAGTTCGGCCGTTCAGGATTCAACCGCGGGTGCTTACACTCAATATACATATTGAATGTTTGCGTGTGCTGCTGAGTGTGACCTGTATAGATACCAACGCTTGAACCGTGTGAGCCCAGCAACTGCAGACTTGCTCCATACCACGCCATGCCTGAGTTCTTCGCGCAGCTGGGGTAAAGCTAATCAGCTAGTCTTCGCCTAGTGACTGTCTGACTAGTGCCGCAAGCACTCCAATGTCCATGAGTGAACCAGCGAGAGATAAAGGTTTTCCGCAATTTACACTGGTCAAGCACTGTGGGAGAGTAGACCCTGCAAAAGCATCAGGCTACACACATGGCAAACGAGGAAGCTAGGCCAGGGCACTGCATGAACGCAGTCATGGGGAAAAGCGGGCCACGAGCTTGCGCCCTTCCTCGGTTCACGAGGAACTAAGTATACTAAGTATGCCTGGCTTCATGGGCAAGAAAATCGGTCAGTCCTACGACACGGCCGGCATCTATTTGCCCGCAATGTCATCTTTCCGTCTCCTGATCTCTGAAACTACATCACGAGAGCCTCGCTTCATGAGGCGGGCCGACATACCTTTTTGCTGCAGGCTCGCAAGCAAGAACGCCTGGGAGTTAGCCACGCGTCCTCCAGCTAGCACTGTACTCGTGACAGTGCTTCCAGCTTCTGAGCAGCTGGGGAACTTGACTGAAAAGGCACACTGCTCCTTGTCGCAAGCATGCTGGTACCCGCTAACTGTGCTACAACTGCCGCGCGATACACAAAGACTTCAGTTGTTCAGCACCCGATTTGCAGCAGCAGAAAGCCAAGACAACGCCAACAACGGCAGCATCAATGACAAGTCATGAAGACTAAGCGCAAGACTCATGACAATCGTGAGGCAGGAAAATGCTTCAAAAGAAGCGGCTTAGAAACCTTAAGTCCTTGATGCCAACATTGAAGCTTCGAGTGGACACGCTAGGAATCCAACATTGAATCAGCGAAGCGCTCAGCTGCCACAATGCGTCGGTAGTAGAAGATCCGACAGTGACAACAAGGAGCACGAGCGTAAGTGCAGATGCGTCGGTTGCAGAATCCATGTGCATGCTTGTAGTTTGCTTCCGCAGTTGAATAGCAGAAAATGTTGGTTGGACTTCAAGCGAGCCGCTGGGATTCCCAAATTGAGTTCGGAACCGTACGGCATCAGCGGCCGGCCCCACCCCTTCATCGTCTTTTCCTCATCATCATCATCATTATCATCATCATCCCCATTTCCCGCCACATTATCTGATTTGGCCAGAGTGAAGAGAAAATATCCAAGGCCAGGCATGATGCACGGTGCAACTGCTTTGAAGGGGAACAACGAGTACAATTGCAACAACTAATCGGACAACAAAGGCCGTAGTAGCAGCCGCGGTAGCTGCAGCAGCAGCAACAGAAGCAGTAGCAGTAGTCGTAGCAGTAGCAGTAGTAGTAGTAGTAGTAGTAGTAGTAGTAGTAGTAGGCCTAGTAGTAATCGTCCTAGTAGTAGTAGGCCTAGTAGTAGTCGTCCTAGTAGTAGTAGCAGTAGTAG